TGATTCATTTAGAAACAAAAACTATATGTGTCCAAATCCGTTCACATATTCACTACTAAAACAATAACAAAAATAACATATTTGCAACAAACATTGAGAAATCATTTGCCTAAACCCCTCTCAATCAAAAAATCCAACTACAACTACATTCTCTTGTCCAATTATTGAAGCTACTTTTCATTATGAATTTGCCACAGATGCTCAATTAAATCATTACAGAAGGCATGATACGTTCTTATCTCTAATACTACATTCTTATATCTAATACTAATGGGTCATTACACACACCAAAAATAAACACTAAACTATACCAAATTCCTTAGAATAGTGATAAGTCCAAGTATCGATCCACAGGGATAAATGGGAAATTAAACTAATTTAATTGTTAAATTCCTAAATTAATTTTGATGAAAAATATAGTTGTTCATAACCTAATGATAATTAAATTAAACAAAGCAAATAAACTAGCAATTATAAATAAAGATGAATTTAATGATTTAAAAAAAACTAGGATAATGAATTCACCACTAGTTATATAAATACGGTTTCAATTTGAAAATCAATTATGTCACGGTTCGAACAAAATAATATTTTGTAACTACAAGCTCGAAGCATTTATCAAGAGAAGTAACACGTTCAATGTATAGGCACGAACTATCTTAAGTAGTACGAGTCGTTCGCTCTAAACTAGGGTAGCAACACGACTCATCCCTCGTAGTATGGCTCATCTCATACCTGAACATAAAGGAATAGAAAACCATTATATGGAAAGAATTCAACAATCACAAAAAGCAGAATACTCAAAGAAATAATTGAAAATTATATTTGAAAACTTCTTAAGAACTATACAACTGTTCAAACCATTACATAAAAGAAAACCAAAAAGAAAACCTATTTACTTGGCTAAGGTTTCATTAAAACCCTAGAAATAGGAGCCAAGCCACTCATGGAGGAGTGGGAAGAGGTAAAAGAAGAAGAAGCCACCATGGGAGACATTCTTCAAACTTCAAGTTCTTTTCCTTCCAAACCCTAGCCTCTCTCTCCCTTTGAAAATTATCAGAACCCTAATCCAACCATTTTTCTGTCTTTTTATACCTCTACAATTTTTCCCCACATTCAAAAAATTAGGCACGCTTCCCGAGGTACGACCATACGTGTGAGAATTTCCACCACACATGCGGTGAGGGTTCCGTACGTACGGGAATGGGCCTCCGCACGTGCTATTTCTTTAGGGCCTATTTGGCTGTGATAGATAGGCCGTACATGCGGGAATGGGCCTCCGCAAGTATGGGAAGCATTTTTCACTACAATTTTTACTCCCACTGTCTCTAACCTAATTGACATTAAACATGCATAAAATATATAATTTGACAGGCTAGTAAGGTTAAAAGATCCTAATTATCGGCCTCAGTGTTGTAAAATTCGACCTCAATCAAATACCTAAATGACGAGACATAAAGGATTCAAAGTCAGTGTTACTTGCGTTCGAAACTGCTATTGTTGTATTGGTTCTTGATGTTTCATAATCAAAATCAAGATGGGAGTCTCTCTTATCTTCGACAATCATATTGTGCAATATAATGCAAGTCTTCATTATATTACCAAGTATTTTGGGATCCCAAAAACATGCTAGTCCACCTACAATTGCAAATCGAGATTGGAACACTCCGAATGCCCGCTCTACATCCTGCCTTGCTAACTCCTACATCATAGAAAAATTTTGCTTATTTGCTTCTTGGGAAGAAGAGATTGTCTAAACAAGTGTTGCCTATGGAGGGTATATACCATCAACAAGGTAATAACACATTTGTAAGTGTGCCCCAATCATAGTGTCATTAGTAGGCAAAGCTTTACCTTGGACAAGATCAAAAAATAAGGATGAATGATTCAAGACATTCAAGTCATTGTGTAATCTAGGCATTCCAAAAAAGGCATGCCAAATTCACAAATCATAAAAAGCTACTGCTTCAAGAATTATAGTTGATTTTTTCACATGACCTACATATTAACCTTGCCATGCCGTTGGACAATTTTTCTACTTCCAATGCATGCAATCTAAACTTCCCAACATACCTGAAAACCCACGAGCCTCCCCAATAGTAAGTAATCTAGGAATATCAGTTGTTGATGGAGATCTAAGATACTTAGCTCGAAAGATTTCGATAATTGATTTGCAAAAGTGTTTACAACTTTCAATTGTTGTGCTTTTCCCAATTCACACATAATCATCAACCGCATCTGCTGCCACTCCATATGTGAGCATTCTAATTGCCAAAGTCATCTTTTGAAACGAAGACAATTCGAGAATATGACAAGCATTTTCTTTTTGAACAAAATAAATGTCGTATGCTTCAATGGTATTCAAAATCTATAGAAATAGATCACGACGCATTCGAAAACATCTCCAAAATGTTGAAGATGGATAAACTGGATTTACAACAAAATAATCCGCAAACAATCGATCATGACCCATTGTTCTTTTGCGACGTATGTATTTATGTCCTAAAATAGAGCCACCTTTTTTCTTTGATTGTTCAGCTGCGGTTAGAATCTCCATCATTGTAGCATTATTTCATCTCATAAAGACCCATAAGTTCAACTATTTTTTCATCATCATCAGTGGATGAAGAAGAAGAAGAGAATGAGAAATCAGTGAAAACATAAAAATTCGAAGAGTTCATTATACTCTATTGGAGTTTTGGAGATGAAGATAGGTTGGTTCTTAAAATTACGTTTTTCGTTGGGTTATACATGGGTTTGATCTTTTTATATATGTATGTTTTGGATGGAAAGAATTAATTGGGGGGGGGGAATGGAAAATGAATGGAGGGAAACATAAATGGACGGAAAAATGTTTCAAGTTTTGGTCAATTTACACAAACCAGTCAACCTCCCAGACATCCTCCGGGTCGACCGGCTATTTGATGAAAAATGAAAATTTTGCATTGGAGTGCTCGGTATTAGATGAAGTTTTTACCCAAATCTTTACTCAAATTTGATGGGAAAAAAAATTTTAAAAAAAATAAAGAAGAAGAAGAAGAGGAGGAGTAAGCGTTGGAAATATTCTAAGAATAGAGATTTTATTTATTTTGACATGATTGTTTGATAAAAGTAAAAAAAATGAAGTACTGAATTATAGTATTAAAATATCTAAGTACTTTATATATAATCAACTCTGTATAATTTGAAAGTAAAAAAAACTTCTTAACTTCAAATTTAAGATACAATTTTTAAAGTAAATTTAAGTGAAAGGTGTTTATGAAACACTAAACACTCTTTATTAAGAATGGGAATTTGCGATACGACACGATAACATGATTCGAACCGTGTGCAAAGTTAGCGGGTTAGAATTGACTATTTTCTGACACGAACACGTATATGACACGACCTGATTACACAAATATTAAACAGGTCAAGTTAGTTTCAAATCTGCATAACACGAAATTGACACAAATAACCTATATAATGAAAAATTAGTTACACATTTTAATATTATTTCCACTAAAGAGTATCGTGGCATCTTTTAATATCTTACATAATTACATCTAATTTATTAAAAAATATGTAAAATACAATTTTAAATCTAATATATGTTTTGTTTTTACTTTTAATTGAACTTAATGTATTTTTGTCTATTATTTGAATTAATCTAGTAAAAAAATATAATAAAAAATATAATTTTTATAAATTAAGAAAATAAAATTAATTTGAAATCAAATATATCAATAAATAATTTCGTTTAATATAGATTAGTTTTATTAAATTTAACTTGTGAAGAAATTTTCAAATTTTTTTCATACATAATATTTTTAGTTAATGGTAAAAAAATTTAACATGACATATTAACACGACACAAACCGGACACGGACCGAACATAACACAACACGATAACACGAAATAATAAACGAATCAGGTTAGTGTTGAGATAATTCTGACACAAACTTAAAATGATACGACATGAATATATAATCCAACACAACACAATCGTGATTTGTGACGCCCTCCCTTACTCTTTATCAATGTAGGTTAGGAATACAAAAGAGGTTTTTGCATGACAGGCCGTAGGTATAAAACAAAGGTGTGACACCTAGATGAGTGGACTCTCTCTCACATTCATATATTTTTTTGTGAATTTTTTTTTTTTATACATTTATATTGTGTATAGATTATAAATTTGGATATAAAAAGAAAAATAGAGAAGAAATTAACTTAGATGTCTCTCACATTTTCTCTGTTCCTTTTCACTTATTTACCTAAATTCATAATCTAAATATAAGATTAAATTTTGTTTAATAAAAAACCCCGTAATCATTCACTTTTATTTATTTTAAAATTAGCTTGTAGGAATAGATGTTTTGGAGTCCTAATGAAAGTCCTAGATAGGGAATAGAATGGAGGGTAGTGGTAGATTAATAACAAGATAAACTGAAGTTAGCGAAGGAGTATGATGAGTATTTTTAAAAAAGAAAAATCATATGATAAGATATTAAAGGGTTAGTAAGTTAAATTACAATAAAATAGTTCTGAACCTTTGACTTTCTTACTATTCCAAGGGACAATGACATGGATCATTGTGCAATTGCGCTATCCGAATATAGGTTCGTGGATCCGAACCCTTTCGAGGCTTAGAGCGATTCAATCCGTTTGATGGTGATAAATCTGGGCCCACCGATTCTTGGACTTGCGATAAATTCGGGCCCACTAATCTTGGGCTATTGGGCCTAAATAATTTAGTGGGCTCAAATTAGCCCCTCTTACAGTAAGTTAGATTACAATAAAATAGTTCTGAACTTCTGACTTTCTTCCTATTCCAAGGGACAATGACATGGATCATTGTGCAATTGTGCTATCCGAATATGATGAGTATGAGGAGTTTTTATGAAAGTAAGAAAGAAGAGTGTCCCACATCGAGGGAGAAGGAAAGAAGCGAGACAATGTTGTTTGGTATAATTAGAGAGACGGGAGCCTTACTAGAAGTATGATCCTTCAGGCAGCTTAAGGGGATGTGATGAGTGGTTCAGTACTCGCATTAAAACATGCGAGATTTGGGTGTTCCGCCCCAAGCCTGGTTACGACAAATTGGGCACTCACATCTTATCCAATCTGATCCCTGCACTTGAAGGAAATCCCAAGCCAAAAAAAGATCAAATAACATATAAACACCAAATCAAAAATCAAATTTTATTCCAATCCAAAAACTCAAATACAAAGTAATAATCAAATCTGATTCCGACCAAACACCAAATAAATAAACAATCTCAAAACCAAAACACCAATTACAAAGTCAATAAATCAAAAGCTGCACAATTAGAGGCTCTCAAAATGAGAGGGAAGTGCTGGAGATGTAATACCACTTTAAAATTTAGTAAGTACTAAAATGTTATATATAATATATATAAAAAAAAATTAAAAAGACAAAATTTCTTTTAATTTAGTATATATTTTTTCATAAAAAGTCAAAATAATTTTATAACACTCTATATATTTCCACTTCATAATTTAGTCAAAAAAAATTACTAAAAAAACTCACTTTTCAAAAGAATCTTGAGTTTGTTTTTGGAAAATGCTAGAGGTTCCAAATTTTCTACCAAATAAATGACCAAATATCTTACATGAGGGGCCCGCAATTTGTCCCTAGCATTACCCTTGTTTTTTTCTCATTATGGGCTATTTTTTCTCTTTTATGTTGGTAGTTGATATTGATTGCTAAGCTGAGAAATTTGTGTTGGTTATTATTTGTCCAGTTTGATGAAATCTTCCTCAATTGAAAATAAAAAGAGAGTAAAAAAGAGAAGCACCTAATATATTATCCTTGTCATGTAAGTAATGTGGAATGTTATTTTGGTATGATGTTCCAAAGGCTATTTTAAAATCTTTTCTTAACCAATGTGGGATTATAACATATGTACTTACAAAATTAGAAATTTCCTTATTGTCTTTCAAGAAGTGTATCGTGAAAGCTTGAACTCTCTTTGTTAGTCTGGTGAGCACTGACCAGAAGCCATTAAAAAAAAAAAAGAAAAAAAATAAGTAAAATGTGAATAAAATATATTTCACACACCTCTCACATTTTTTTCTTTTCATTTTTCAAATCTTTACCTAAATTCATGAACCAGACACAACATTATTGAAACAAGAGAGCACCCAACTCTCTAGCCATGCTCTTGGCGGGAGGTTCGAACATCATAACCACACCCACCCCCCCTGTGAAATATAAAAAAAAAAAAAGAAAAAAAATAAGTAAAATGTGAATAAAATATATTTCACACACCTCTCACATTTTTTTCTTTTCATTTTTCAAATCTTTACCTAAATTCATGAACCAGACACAACATTATTGAAACAAGAGAGCACCCAACTCTCTAGCCATGCTCTTGGCGGGAGGTTCGAACATCATAACCACAACCACACCACACCAAAATTTAAGATAAAAGTATGGTGTCCAAAAGAAGGGGAAAATTCAAAAAGTGAAAGAAAATGAAAAGCAAAACAAGAGCAATTCCAGAACACATGTTATAGTACGAAGACAGTATCAGATGAGGGTTCGTCTCACAATTTCAACCATTTAAAAGGTGACCTCTACGACATCACAGCCATCAGTCTTCTAAAAGATCATTCAATCTCTTTCAACAATAGTCTACTCCACCGGTTATTCAAATGTGAGAGATTAGCATAACAATTTTTTAAATATGTTTTCTTTCCTAGCACAAAAATAGACAACAAAATTTCAATACAAGCGCTTATCCATATGATATGATGCAACCTATTATCATCATACACAAATGTGTATATACAACTCCAAAAGAGAAGAAAGGGATGTCAACATTAATTATATAAATGAAGCAAAAATGCCTAGGATTAAATTTTAATTCAAAATGCTGTACCTAATCCATCCATTACATCCAAAGCACTAGACTTTGGACGCTCCAATCGCTGGCTTGGAGAGTTCCCAGTGCTCCTGCTGTGGGCCCAAACTTTGTTCTCTCTCTTCTTCGCCAAACCGAATTCCTGACTTTTGCTTAATCCAGGAACCAATCTTTTCCTGCTCATTACCTTTTCCAATAACTTTCTATCTTCTGCAGACATTTGGATACTATAGGTCTTTTGAGAATCACTCACAGATGAGGGTTGATGTGTCTGAAGCGACAAATTCAGCCCCTTGCGAGTGGGAGATCGAAACGGCAATGCTCCGATTCCATTATCTCTCTGTCTTACAACACTGATCAGACGGTGAAGCCATGCTGCCAGTTCAAGGATGTGCAGCTCCGTTTTCTGCTTATCTGCATGATAAAGTGTCTGGAGGCGAATCACGTTATTCTGTGTGGCACCCTTCTTGTTGAACTCATTACTGTAAGAAACTAACACACTGTTAAATATCACAATGTTGCTGAAAATGAAAGCATAAACAGTGTAAGCAAGAGAGAGGAAACTGACTAACCCAGTATTCGCCCACTCTCCAACCCAACCAAAACCTTGATGCGCCCTGTTTTGAAGTGTCAAAAAACAAAAACAGTAAAAGATGATGTAGATGTATGTGGACTGTGTAAGAGAAAATTAAACAGCTAAGAGATTAGGCTGGAAAATATTGCTTGTTTTCAAATGCAAGATTAGACAAAGCAGAAAGCTGAGTAAGCACTTGATTAAACGTACTTGGAAGTATTTGCAGCCACTGGAACAAGCCATTGGAGTGTGTTCTCCATTTCAGCTTTAATTTGAGAAATTGTGAGCTGCACAAAGGCCCAAAGTTAAAGCACCTAAGTTCCAGAGGCAAAATACAAAGCCTGTATGTGTACACTTAAGTTGTGTTTGGATCATGGATTTCGATAAAGGATTTGGAAAGGGAAAGGGAAAGAAAAGGCAAGGGAAATAGTGAAAAAATTTAGTTTATATTTCATTCACATTTCCCTCACTTTTCTTTCCTTTTCCAAATCACTGCCCAAATATAGTTAACAAGTGAAGTCCATGAGGAAGACAAAAAGCATTATTGGAACTACACTATTCTAGATTAGGACACACCTCTTCCTTGGCATCAACAGTTTGACACCGAGAACGTAAAGCAACCTTCACACTGTTTGGCAACCCAAGATATAATTGATCTCTCATATTAGGAGGAAGGGAGGTAGGCCGAGATGTCTAATATCAGGAGAATTCACATTTAAAAATCAACAAGCATTCAGTTATGCTACAATAACCGTATGAGAAAAAATACCAATACTTGGTAAGAGTTGAACTTACAATGTTGTCTATCTGATTGATCACATTAGCATAGTGCAGTGCAAGACCCGCTACACCTAGCCTTTCAGGTTTGTTAACAGGCTCTTTGCCAACCAGGATCAAACCTGCCATGAAATGACAGTGCAACGAAACGTGGAATGTATATCAAGCACACTTCATGAACAACAACTAGGAAAAAAAATTACAATCTGGAATCTTGGATGTTCTATCATAATTGATAACATTGCATCTCCTAGTACTAATGGTCAGTTAGGATTGGGAAACAGATAGTAGATTGATATAGAATGGCTAATGTATTGTATTTGTTTAAACAAACTTCGAGACTAAAGTGGAATTTAGATTCTTCTAGCATGCATGTGCATGGCATTCAGTTATCCCATAGCATTTTTTAGGTGCAGAAAATGAGTATACATTTTTTTAGCCATCATGTATTAGGCCCTTACAAACTATGGGATGCCAAACGAGGAAGCATGTGACAGAACAGAAGATAGGGCCAAGTTTCAAGCAAAAACTCTTAAGAATCAAACCATGGCAATGGTTTTAAACTGATCTTCAAATTCATTTATTCAGTAATTCATGATTGATTTGCTTGTACTATGTTGTTCATACCATTATCTCCAAATGCTTCTAAGATCTCTTGATGTATGATGGAAACAATATCGACAAGCTTCTCCACAACCTATACAAAAATCAATAATAGGTTAAGGGAGTCTTATTTCACACTTAAAAGGAGGGAGTCTTATTTCACACTTAAAAGGATAACTCAAAACCAGGTTCAGACTGTCAACACCAGGACAGCAGACACACATTCCACGTGTCTTGTGGAATGATTAATGAATAAAATCCAACATATTTACATTCACTGCCATCCACAAGGAAGGCAGCAAAATATGATTTCCAGAGATGAGAAGATAATCAAATCAAATATTGATAAAAAGACTCCCAACTTCTTCCACAAAATGCCTCAAGAATAAATGATAATTGCAAGTTGAGAAATGCAGTCCTTTAGAAAGGTCATCAATATTTTGGCGATTTTCACCAGTAGATAATAGAAGTTAATGTACAATCACGTACCTCCTCCAAACTCTTAGCCCAAAGAGATTTCTTTTTCAAGCTCCTTACAAGTTTTTTTTGATGTTTTAGTTCACTTTGTAGCATCATGATACTCTCTCCTACATTCACAAAGAAATGCAGGTTAATAAAAGAATCTTCCTTCCGGTACCAGATATCAGAACACTAGTGCTAACAATCACTGGCAGAGATCTGTAAATATCCATGGGAGTTGGTCAACGGTAAGTATTCATTTAGTCAATAAGAACAGAAAATGGACATAACTGAAATGAACACTACAATTTTGCAAAATAAACGAAAAACATCCTCCAGGTATATGCTGAATGGCAACCCTTATTGCCCAACATAGAAAACAGATTTCTTTTTTCCTAGACAAAACCATTGTAGGTTCTGGTAAGTCACACTGTTGAGCATCATATAGATTTGATCTTTAAAATACAAAACCATTTACAAGATATCCAGAAGCTCCATCCAACTTAATGATTTGGACATTTCAATTATTTACAAATATACTCTCATTATGCAAGTATGCATACTAAATCAGTGCCCTAGACATTGAACAACCCATTAGGTGCAAACACTAGCACAAGATTTTTGCAGAAAGAAGAAAAGTTGACCTTGTTGCACTTGTTCATAGATAAAATGAAGAATAAAGTCATAAATTGTACAACAAATATATCTTCAGAAGATGGGTCCCCCACTATAAAGACTGTATATGTATAGAACGGAATACATCTTCAGAATTTGCGTCCCCCACTACAAATACAGTATGTATAGGGCACAACGCCGCCACCACTATAAAATGAAATATATTTTCAATTGTAGCATGAAGAGAATGGTAAGAGTCCATTAACCTTTTTTTTCCCATGAAAAGGATAACCATTTCATACAAGGACAGCCGAAGGAGCCACAAAAAACCTGGCCTCTTTTCATAACAATGTTGACCAGCAGAGGACCCATAGAGCCAATGTGAGAAATAAATTTAATCAAAACATGTCTGCTCAAAGACGATTACAACCATGAAAAAAATCAAAATTTTCATGAATAAAAAAGAGAGGGATAGTAGGCTATTTTGATATATACATACTACATATATATATATATATATTATATAATAAAACAAGGCAGGTTTTGAATTTTTTCACACCTGTCATATTTGTTTCAAAACATCCTAGAGACATTTGTCTAGGTGGCAATTTGGACAATTAGGATGATTTCTAAATAACATCCCATGGCCTACATTTCAAAGAATGTGTGTGATCATTAAGAAATTGGTGGATAGATTTCAACTATTAGATTAAAATTGCTGCAAAATTACAGCCATGAGATTTCTCTCTTTTTTGTTTCTCTTCATTTTGAAAACCATCCTCACCTGTCTCTGTTCGAAACCTTCAACCAAAGCTCACTCCCTCCTCTATGTTCTCTCTCCCCTCACCATATTCACCACCAAAATTGCCAGATCGTTACATACTCAGAATTTGACAAACCCCATCCGCAAACCCCATCATTGTGGCCCACTTCGACTCTCCCTCTATGTCCGCAAACCCACCATTGGAGTCATGGTGATATGGGTTTGACCCAAGAATCAACATTGATGATGGTGGTCACAACAGAGAGAGGTGTGTGAGGTCTTCAACTTCACAATGATTGAGCCAGGTTTGATCAGAAAATCACCATCGGCAATGGTAGCGACAAAGAAAAGTACATTAAGCTGTCAATTGTAATTTCAGACTCGCATTGATGACAATAGTTCTAGTAACTTCAAATCAAAACCCATTAAATTCAAAAGCATATTAGTAACCAAAACCAGAAAACTACCCATTAATTTTCTCTTTTTGGTTTGTTTGCTGAGTTTATTGATTCACAGGGAATGGAATGTGAAGGAAATGAATCAAATGATCAAACTTTTGGCGGAGAAAAAAAGTTCCCCTTTGGTGAGCTTCATCCACTATTTTTTTAACTATGTTGAGTTTATGAATTTATATATATTTTAATTTCCTTTTTAATGATAAGATGTTCTAATCATTTTTTTTATTATGACATTTATTAATTGATTGGATAATGGGAAAGACCAAAAAAATTGGCAGCTTACTGTTTTTTGCTTGCATTGCTTCTAAATAGTTTGAATGCTCTCAATTGGATCTTAGTTGTGAGTTTATGAAACTTTTGGATTGATTATTAAAAATGGTGGGTTTATCTCCATTTAAGTTTTTTGCTTTTGTCATTTGATCATGTCTTTTGAAGAATAATTTTTTTATGGGATACGAATACGATAAATGATCAACTCTAATCTAATTTCCTTCATTGTTCTTTGTTTTGCTATTCTATACAGGACTTCTTTGGCATTCTATACAGGATTTTGCTTAGGCAGGTAGAACTTTGAACTCAATGTCTTCATTGTTCTTTGTTTTGATTGCTATAGCCATTGACTTTGTCTCATTTTAATTGTAACTGATTCAGCATTTTCTGCCTGTTCCTTTTTTTTACTGTAACTGATTTTCAAATTTTCGGGTTGTTACCTTGAAACCTATATTCGGGATTTTGGATTTTTGGATCCTACAAAATCAGCCTTCCTTTTTTATTTGCTTTATCTCTTAATTGTTTATCTTTTTGGTTGGCCTAAAAGCTTGATGGTTTCTTTTCCTTTCGGTTTGTAGTCTCTTTGTTTTTCTTTTGAACTTTTGAAGTTGCAGACTAGGCAATCATGTTGGCAAGCGACATCAATGAAGACAGTCCTAGTTACAATGTGGGTGTTTGGAAAGTTGCTATTTTAGTAGGCTAAAATTTTTGTGTTTGGGGAGATGATTGGATTTTTTTGTAATTGGATGTGATGTTTATGAGAGAAAAAGTGAAATGATTATAGGCTAAAATAGCCCTTGCCAAACACCACCAATAGCATCTATATAATAAGACAGGTAGGTTTTTGAAAATGTCTTCGTGTTAGAATGGCTCATATTTATTCAACCTTCAATCCCATTGTCAGATTTACTTTCCAACGTTCAGACTTGCATCTCCAAATTTCATATCTTCACTTTTCTTTCCTTCCACAAATCACTACTCAAATCTATGATCCAAACACAACCTAAATATTCAAACCAAACAAGTTGGCCATAAATGTTTAAATTACATTTGCTCAAATAAATGTAAGTAATTTGGTTTTTTTTTTTTTTTTGGTTTATATATTTGAAGCAATTTTTTTTTTTTTTTTTTTTAAATTGTGGTTATATAATCGATTGTTTTGTGCAAGAGATTTGTTTTTTTGTTAATTATACATATGAGACAAAGTGCTGAAAGAATGTAGAATATATAAATTTAATTGGGTAGTGTTGTGGGCAAGAGTAATAAATAGTTAATTCTGATTTTAGAATTTTTTTGCCGGTTGTGATTTTGTAACTCTGAAGATGCCCTACTCCGTATGGTATGGGCATTCGTGTTTATGATAATGAACCAATTTTTGACAAAGCTTTGTAGGGTAATAAAAATTAAACTAAAAAATGCAGCTATTTCTTCTGGACTGCAAGTTTCATTTGCATGTAGGATAGATAGTGGATGCTAATGTTAAAACATGTTCTAGATTCTCTTCGAATGCAACTTGATCATTGAGAAGCAGCATGTTGTCCCAACTTTAAAGTCAGGTTTTTATTTTTGCATCATGCAACTAAAGTGCTTATAGTCTTTTGCAAATTGCAAGTGGGTTGGAAAAAGGAAGACTACAGCAGCAAATGTTTAGTGATATGGTCTCTATCTGTCGATTGCTAATTTACATGAACTTCATGTTCTGGTTTTTATATGGGTGTCCTCTATTTTGACATATGTAAGTTTTGATGATTGTATTGGAAATTTAGTCCATTTGCTGAAGGAAAAGTTTTCAAGTAGGTCATAATGCTTTGAGCTTTACATGTAAACAGGTGACTAAAATTGTTATTCAAGCATTATGGCCCATGTTATGCCTCTCCATCATTCCAAAGCTACATTTTTTATTTTTTTATTTTTTTATTTTTTTGTATTTCTGAAACCAAAAGTACAAAAATAAACATAATTTTTTTTTTTTTTGGGGGGGGGGGGGGGTTTGGGGTGTTCATGACCTGCATTTAGTTGTTAAAAGAAAACCTTTAACAGATGTTGAATCCTCTCAATCCCCTCCTCACTATCAAACCCAATCCCCTCCCCATAACCCCAAACAAACGGGGCCTAAAGGTTACTACAAGAAGTGGGTATACAGTTCCTTGATTTCATGCAAACATTGAGCTACTTTGATAAAGAAAACATTTCCAAAATGAATTCAAGTTGGCTACGGAGAAGTAAACCCTTTTCAGTTGGCCATGGTTAATAACCCTTGTTAGCAATGTTCAATTCAGGATTGCAAAGCCATGGGTAACTTGCTAATCATGTGTTAATCACAGAGAAAATCACACACATTGATTCTTTTTGCTGAATGGTTTGAGAATTGATGATTAGAGTAATGGTGCTAAGGTTTTTTTTGTTTTTTTAAAATTATTTTTTCTGTATGGTTTTAGATTTATTCTTGTAATATAATTTATTGATTTTTTTGCTGTATCGTCATTTAATATTTAAGTAACTTTGCTCCATTAGCATAAAAAGCAAAATTATTAATTGTGTTAGAATAGTTATTTCCTGTTCTCTTGTTTTTCTATTAATATTTACTAGAGTTGAGGGTACGATGGACATATTGCAATGTTAGGGTTTGTATATATATTTCGTTGATGTAGAGTTAAATAGACAATTTTTCCAGATATATAAAATTTCTCCCTCTTCTCTTATCTCTTCTTCTTCCTCTTAAATCCTAACCCTAAATTTCTTCATTTTACATTCTAACTTGGTAAACTTGAACCAATCAAAAAGCTTCATGTAGTGGTTTTCCTATAGTTTCTGGATTATACTATTTAGGACTATATTTGTTCAGGTATGCCACATAGATGAGCAATGCTACCGATCACAAAAAAAATTTCACCAAAAAGTTTCACAAAAATCATCTCGAAGCCTTTGCTAGTCGATCAAATAATTGATTCTAAAGCTTTCCCGGTTGTTCGGCCACAGTTTTGAGACACTTTTCGTTAAACATTTTTCATGGTCTCTAGCATTTTTGCAGTACATAGATTGTAATATAAGAATTTTATTAGATAGTATCTTTAGGCATGAGCAATCTCTAGTATATATATAACGTAAAGCTTTCCCCAGTTATTGCACTGTATTAGATTCATTTAGGAAACCATATATCCATATATGTCTATGGATAAACAGAAGATAATACGAGAAAATTTCAGGTCCGAAATTGCTATTCATTATTATCTAAGAACACTAGAATGAAAGTAAAGGATTAACCATTTCTAACCTTTACGAGGGAGATTTAAGGAATCCATTTCTTCGAGCTTCCGCTGGTAATCTTGTTCAAATCTTTCCAAAGCATTAAATTCATGATATAACTCCTGCACAGGGAGGAGTTAGCCTTGTAATGTAGATCAAAATGAGTAAAAAAAGCTGAAGCTTTTTAAGAACACAATGAAATATAAGAACACAGGGAGGAGTTAGCCTTGTAATGTAGACCAAAATGAGTAAAAAAAACTGAAGCTTTTTAAGAACACAATGAAATTTAATCTTTATAGTATGGGAAATGTATGTTCTATTTTTAGTCGATCTGAACAAACTCAGGGTGATGATTACAAGGAACATATATTAGCTAACATTTTTGAAGATTTTATACAATTCAAATTCATTTTCACCGTTTTTATGAAATTTTGGAGAGAGAGAAAAATCCGATACAGCAACATAGTGCAGCTGTGCAGGGCAGTAGGCAGATGATTGCAAGGAACATATATTAGCTAAAATTTCTAGATTTTATACAATTCAAATTCATTTTCACCAGTTTTATGAAATTTTGGAGAAAAGAAAATCGCATACTGTAACATGGTGCAGCTGCGCAGGGTAGTATCACAGTGCATGCAATCTTTATTGAATTATGAGAAAACATTCAGCATAACGATACAAAGTAAGAGAATATGAACCGGGCATGCTATTATCCCATATCAAATTTTGGGAAATAATTGTGGAACCACCATTTCTAAGAAGACAACCTGTTCTAAAATTAATTGTACAGTACAAGTCAGAAATCATCATGTTCTACAGCACTATACACTATGTTTGGTTTCGTTTTTTTTGAGTTATTTTTTGGAAAAGTGATTTGAAAACTTTGCTTTGAAAATGCTTTGAAAATGGATATATGTTTGGTTTTCAAAAAAATGCACTATGCAATTTCAAATTTCCCTCCAAAAGTTGAGAGAGAGGGCTAGATGCATTGACCAATTAAAAAAAAAAATTCCCTCCAAAATGCACTATACATTGACCAATCAAATTTCCCTCCAAAAGTTGTACCAAGATTCTGAAAACTTTATCCCATTTTCAAAATAACCAAACAAAAACTTCAAAATTTTCAAAAAAATGGGTTTAGAAAAATGGAACCAAACATGATGACAAGCACTGAACTGCTGCCGGTTCAAAATAAAATGGAAAAAAAAATATATATATATATATAGAAGTTAATGTTAGGAAAAAGCATTTGTAATAGAAGAAGGTTCCAGAACTTTTTGTTGACGGGGTCATGCAAAATCTTAAACACTAAATCTCAAATCATAATTGAAAAAAATTTAAAAAAAATTAAAAAATTCCACAAATATATGCATTTTTACAGTTGTACTCGACAAGGTTCTAAATTTTGGAATTGTTGTCTAATAATCAGCAATGGTTAGAGCAAGGGGAGCAGGATCTAGATACCGATCCAAATCAGATATCTCATTAACAATATTATCAAATAAGTTTTGGTTGAACTAATAATAAATAATTAAAAAACATATTACAAGAAAAATAGTAATTATTCATTTCTACTAAAACAAGAAGTCAGCAAAATTCTAATGGGCATGTGCTGCAATCACAAAAAATAAAAAAATAAAAAAAATCATCAAATGCATTAAAAATCTAACAAATTCAACTAAATCAATGTATTATACAAAATGTATCACAAACTTAATGTGCCAATCAAATTTAGGAGCAAAAATAAATAAATATAAAAGAGTGAGGGAATCCGTTGCCTTTCCTCTTCTTTTATTTTTTTAACCCATGGCCTCTTTTTTGCATTGAAACGAAGAAGTAAATGCAAGAGATCTCCAATAAATACAACTGAACTTACCGAAGTATGCTGAGCCAAGGTAGTCAACTCATGCATTGTCAATTCTGCCTCTTCTCTTCGTTGCTCGTGGATTTCATGATCTGAGTCCAATCTGATAAGTTACAAATATTTTAAGTAATGTCTTTGAAACACTAGGAAACAACGGTAGCTTCGCTAGTATGAATTATAGAGGCATCTAGCTTACTTTGAAAATAACCGGTCCAGGTTGTGCCATTGTGGATCTTTACATAGATCGCCAAACCTAATCACTTCCCTGGAGAAAACACCAAATTCCTCCCTACAAAGTTCAGCACATATATTACAATACAAAAGAAGATGAAAAATGATGCGATAGATTGCATGCGGCAGACAATTGTTCAAAAAGTCAAAAAAAAATATGAACGAAACAAGGGTGAAGCATTTTGTGAAACAAGTGAAAACCTTTTGTCAGCAGCAGCAATACTTAGCAACTCTTTCATGTCTGTAGAAACTAATTGTTGCACTCCTTCTGAATGTAAAACCTCCTTTTTCAGGAACTGGACATTTTCTTGAGAAAGAGATTGCATCAAATTCCCACCTTTGGTGATTGTATTAGCAATTTCAAATGCCAAAATGCATATTCTATTCCCTCTTGAAGCCATGCCAGAGATAAATCCGCTGTTGGAGTTAAAATTTGACATGCTACTTCCAAGTGTGTCTAGAACTTCCACTGCCCTCTCTAGGCCCACAAATCCAGCTCTTCCCAAAAATGAGCTCTTCTGGGGCACCTAAAAAGAAGACACAATGTAAACCACAAAGCAACAATAAGTTCCATTTCAATAATATGTCCAATTGGTCTATGTCATGTTAAAGGATTATGACTGTTTGGATTGACAGACACTGAAAACTACTGATCTGAATATAAGATGCCAAGAGAAGGAAAAGGTTCCTGCAAAATATGTTATTCCCATCAAAATATAGTTAAACAATAAAAACAGATGACTAGCATCAAGGGACAAAGATTTATGGCCGCAAGTACATCTTCAGGAAATATTCAAACAACTGTATCCGCCTGTGACCCTGTCTAAAACAGAGTAGTAGCATGATTACATTCCAAGTATGGATTTAGTGCAGGAAATTTTAGCTCAATGGTCTTCTGCTCCTGTACAATGGCTTGAGCTGGTGATTGCTTGAATCATTGTCAACCAAGAAAATAAAATACATCTGACTTTTACCATACACTACACTAAATCATTGTTCAAGCAATTCAAAGATCTTAACATGTAGTTCAATTATCATATCTTACTTGGTTTACATCTACACAAGTCTACCTGCACAAGTTTCATTTGAAGTCATGGTCAATGCATATTTTTGTGCTTCTAACAAAGCCAAAAGTCAAAGCAATCAAAACTACATGAGGCTGTTAGCAACCTTTTTTTTTTTTTTTTTTCCCTTATCATCCTTGTACATTTGGAGAAATCATCTCTTGCTATTTCTCCCATGATTCAGTGAAGCTTCCAATTATCATAACTGGGATAAATAAAGCCTTTACCGCTCATTGCCACTCATATAGATCCAACTGATGCGAACGAGACAACGAAATTTGAACTAATATAAAAACTTATATAAAGATCATCATGACAAGCCTTGCAGAGTATATAACTGGGAACTGTCAGATGTTCATCTTGTTCACCGTCAAAGATTCTATTCTATCCAAATATATTTGAGGCCCAGATATCAGATAGCACAATGACATTCTTCTGGGATCAAAATGCGCAAAATCCAAACATCCAAATTTCAATATTCCTGCCATCTTTCTTATCTTCCATTTTCTCGAACAATTATGTTTCACAAAAGCACACAAGTTTGCTTGTTAACAATTATTTACAATAAGTAATTATCCTCATTTTTCTTGGGCTTAAAATCACTACCAAAAAAACTTCAAAGGTTATTGCAATTAGAATCTCCATTTGTTTATCTCATTGCAATAACCTTTGAAGTTTTTAAGTTTCTAATTGCAATAACAAAAATAAATAAATAACCACCATTATACTCTCGTGATCTGCAAAGTCAATAAAAAAAAATATAAAAACAACAAAGCCAATTGGGAACCAAATTTTAAGCAGATTAAACAAGCCTTCATTTTTTTATTTTTTATTTTTGGTGTGTATCTGATCGAATACTTAAAATCACTTGCTCACACTAGGATTAAAATAAACGCTAACAATCATTGATTACAAGCAAGAGATGTATAACTACCTTGTTTGTCACCGTCCTAGCAGGTGTAGAAGGCTTGAGTTCACGAGAAATGGACAATCGAAGCTCGCCGGAATCAAAATTCTGTGAAGTGTTCTCGAAACCGTCAACATCTGAATACGAATAAGAATCATCCGTATGCTTACTAAAGCTCCTCATGGACTTGAGTTTCCCAGAAAATCCCGAATTCTTTTCCCGGAACTCTGAATTTTTCTTCATAGTCGTCCCAGCCGAGCAAACAGCTCCCATTGTGCTTAGATTATCCAACAATTCTACTCCAAAATTTATACCTATCAAAACAATTCAAATGAAAATTCATATGATCACAGAATTATCAAACATTTTCTCACTAACCAAACAAGGAATTAGTAAAACCTAAACAAAAAGACTAGAAGCTACCTCTGACCACAGAATTGTCCGTTTATGATCTCGCTTGCATCGAATTGACTGGAATTGATGAGGAATGAAAAAGAAAGAGAGAGGGCTTTCGATGCCCCAAGTTTCAAGCCAGACACATGCTTGGAAATTAATATGAGCAGTAATGCTTGACTACTGTGTTTTTTCTTTCTTTTTCCCTGTTTACTTTTTCTCTCTCTCTCTCTCTCTCTCTCTCTCTCGTTTTTTTAAGTGCATAAAAGTCACGATGAATGTGTGAGGAGGAATATTATTTTCTCTTTCAAGAATTTTAGTTGAAAAATGTTAAGAATTTATTTTTATGGATTCTCAATTTATCTCATACATTTGTATATTAAATAATGAAATATGAATTTATATATAAAATGAATTTGAATGATTAATTTTTTTAAAATAAATTTTAAATTAGTAAAGGTTAATTTATAATATTACCATTGATTTTAATTAGATTATGCACTCACAATATAATAATCATTATCTTATGTGATATATAAAAAAATAATAATAAGCATATAATTAATAAATAGTAAAATATATCAAGTAAGATATAGGATCAATTTATGTGATAATTTAAGTTTATTTAATAATTTTTAATTTTAGTTAAAAAATTAAAAGTTATATCTTTTTGTTTTTATATTTTTTTTATAAAAAATTAAAAAATTATTAAAATTTCCTGTTCTGAAGTGGATTGAGAGAGAGCGGGGGATATGAATGAATAGAGAAGTCCGCCCGCCGTTCCGAGTTCGTCTCTGACGTCACTTCTTGAAATGTCCATTCTGTACTTAAAATGTGGACCCACGTATTTTATGTACTTTGAAGACTCACGAGAAAAACCCATGATACATTTAAGGCGTTTGTTTGATTCTCTATATAGAATGAGAGAGATTAAGCAGTGTTCGGAAAGTATTGAATTAGTATAATTTTTAATTTTTTATAAAAAAATATATAAAATATGAATTAAATTTGAAGTAATTTAGTAAAGAGATAATTTGATCTAAATAAGATGATTGTGACTCAAATAAAATACTGTGTTAAAATAATGTGTTATTTTAACACATGCCAAACAAAACTTAAGAGTACGGTGGGATTGAGTAATGAAATTATTAATGTGATGGTATTAAGTTAGAGCATCTCCAACCCACTAGGCATATAATGCTTGTTAGTTAAAATGCCTAGTATAACTCATTTTTTTCAACTCCAATGCACTAGGCATATGATTAGGCATTTTAGCTCAACTCATATTCACTAGCTACATGTAGCTAGCTTTCAAGGCTAGGCAAAATGAGTTTAATCATTAGGATCATTTCCCTCCATTTTTGTTGCTGATGTGGCATTTTCTAAAATTAATAGTATTTAGATAAATAGCTAAAATAAAGAGCATGGTTGGAGTAGAAATATGAAATAGTTGATAGGCAAAATAAAATATATACTTTATAGTAATATTTAGATAGGTAAAATGCCTATTACCGTTGGAGATGCTCTTAGAGATGTAAAATAAAGAGTGTTTGTTTATGTACCATCAAAATATTAATACTATAGATAATGACCTCGTTTGGGAAGTGGCTATTTTAGTAGGCTATTTGACTTTTTGATTATTTTAGTTTTGTGTTTGGGAAGATGAGATGAATTTTTAATTGAGTTGTTGTATTGGAAAGTGTGTTGAAATGATGTTTAAATTTAAAATGACAAATTTGTCCCTAAAAATATTTTTTTTTAAATTGATATCAAGGGGTAAAATCGTAATTTACTTATTGATGGAACAAGTGTTGTAGCTGACAGTGTAGGCTGTGCCTACACTGCCGGCTGTGCAGCCTATATTTTTTTTTTTTTTTTTTTTTTAAAAAGCTTCCAACAGTGTTGCTTTTGGGCTTTTTTCTCAAAATAGGCTATAATAGCCTCGTTTTTGGCTTCCCAAACAGCGCCAATATCAATATATAAAATTAATATTTTTTAATTTTTAATATTATCATTGTTTCTTTATTCTAAAAAATATTAGTTTTTACTTAAAAATCATTTAAAAATTCACTAATCCTCTCACTCAATTTCTAATTATAATTCTCTCATAACTTTGTTAGTCTTATCACATGAGAAGATTACTAATACAAGAAGATAGTTAATTCTCACTCAGATCCCCAACCAAACGCTCTTTTAAGTAGATCCCACGTGTTATTAATCCAATCTCTCCTCTCATGGCCTAAGATAAATAATTAATTTTTAAATTAATGGTAAATTTTAGGATAAATTACACTTACCTCTCCTACGATTTTTGACAAATACCGGGATCTCCCATGTGGTTTCAATAATTACAGAAACTTCTCTTACTTTTGCTGACAATATCAAGATTTTTCCAATTCGTTAATTTAGCACAAACGCCGTTACTTTTCTATCCAAAATAATCATATTGCCACTTTGAATTAATAAGCTATTTAAATAAAAAATTCCATTCACCTCCCTTGTAGTTTTGCATATATATGTATATGTATATATATATATATATATATATTAAATTATATATTATAACACCCTAATAATTAATACAACACTTATAAGACTTATTTCACACTATATAAATAATGAAATATTTTTCAATTTTAATTAATGCATTTGTTATTTAAATTTTTTATTTCTTTTTTTCTTTTTAAGTTAAAACAAATGGTTTAATTTTATTTTATTTTTTAAGCAATTTGTCTTACTTATTTATTCATATGTTAAAAAAAATAAAAAAATAAAAATAAAATTATCCATAAATTGTTAAGATGTTATTAACAAATTTTTATTTTTATTTTTGAGTCATTAAATTTTTAGTTGCTGCATATTTAAAAAAAAAACACAGGTTATTCTTATATGATTAAAAAAATTAAAAAATAAATATAGAAGTAAAAAATATAATCTAATAGCTTCACAAAAAATTAAAATTAGTTAATAGGGAATAAAAGATCAAGAAATCATTTAAAAATAATAAACAATTCAAACAATTTCTCATTTATTATAGCTAAAAATAAAATTAATCCTTACTTGAATGGAGAAATTATTTCAGAATACTAAAATACTCAATTAATTTGTTGTTTGATACTTAAAATATATTTCTCCATCTTTATTTTTCTCATTTAAACTATTTTTATTAAACTAAATCTTAAAATTAATTTCTCACTTTAATTAATTGTTAAATTTTTACTTTATTTTTTAATTTCTCACCTTTATTTTGTTCTATTTTATTTGTAGCTATCACGACTCAAACCCGCTCTTATAGATTTAGTATTGTAACTGGCCAGTAATCCTGAGATTATAAAAGGCCTATGAAACAGAATAACAAAATATGGGGCTAGCGGAAACAAATATCAAACATACAATACCAAACATACAATATCCATAAAGTTGTGTAGACTTATATGAGACAGTAAATTTTAAACTTATGTTTACATATAATAAAACGTCAGTCTTACATACAAAAAGGAACATAAACTTATCCTGACAAAAGAAAAGAACTTAAAACTTAAAACTTATAAACACAAGCCACAGAACTTTGCCACAAAAAGACTTTCGGAACCTTATCGGGAGGTACACAAGTTGGCTAACACAAACTGATCTAGACCGAAAGTCTCAAGTCTGGTCACACGCCTGCTCACCTACATACATAAATAATACAGTGAGTTGGAGCCTAGTAAATAATAACAGAGTAAAGTGTTTATGAATAATGTCCAAAACAGATTCAGAAATTAGATATCATATCAGAAACAGATTCAGATTCACATACTTATACAGATTTCAGATACATATTCAGATTTGTAAACAGTTATATGTGGTACATCTATTAGCTAACAGATCAGATTGATCATGAAAACCCACATATATAATCGGTATTAACGACCATAAAGGTCAATATCTTTGTGCACATATAGCCATGGTATTGTTACCCCCAGACAAAGGCCACATGAACATAGGTCTCAGTATTGTTACCTCCGGGCAAGAGCCACGGGCATATTGGCCACGGTATTGTTACCCTCGGGCGAGGGCTACATGAACATAAGCCACGGTATTGTTTCCTTCGGACAAGGGCCGCGTGAACTAAGAATGCCACAAATACATTTCAGAAAAATTGACATTCATTCATGTTTCATGAAATAGCATTTCATAAAACAAATCATATCAGTTCAGTTAAAAACTACTTATAATCAAACATAATTTTACAGAGTTATTACTCACAAATAGCACTAGTAGTAGTAAAACAGATCACTTGAATAGAACAGACTGATCGGGCGAGTGATAACACATGACTTACACAAACACGTGACATATACAAATTGAACACACATCTCAAGGTGTTTAACTTGTCATTCTTCTTCCTTAGTGTGTGTTTCTAACTCTTAAACTCATTATTATAACTTAAACATGTCCTAGGAATACCTTATATGTAATGAGGATGCAAAATTGCACTTTGGAACACTTAGCCAAATTTCGGAAAACAGGGAGCAAAGCTTCAGTTCGCTCGAGCGGTCTTCAAAGTCAGTAAAAGTACTAGATGCTTGAATTTCACGCTCAAATCAACTTTTGGTCGCTTGAGCACAACTTCTATTGCTCGAGCCAACCCCCAAACTCTGCAAAACTTTTGAGAGCTCGAATTTTATGCTCGAGCGATGCGACCAAATTCTAGAATTTCCAAATTGCTATTCAAGATGCAAAACTCAAATTCAAAGCTTCAAAACACATTTTTTTGGCCCAAAACTTGAGAAAACATGTAGAAAATCATAGAACTTCATGAATTGAAAGTCGTTTCACAAAATCAAAGCACAAAAACAAGTCAATTGTTCAATATCAAGCTTGAAACTTTGTATAATACTCATACATGTAATGATATGAATTCCTTGCTTTCAAAACATAAACTATTGAGGTAATTTGGTATGAAACTTCATGAATTCTCAAAACAAAGGCAAGATGAACACATGTATGTGAGAATTCTTTGAACTAAAACTCAAACTCAAATGGTAATGAAATGGACATACATGCGCGGAATGCTCTTCTTCCTACTCTCCAAACTCAATTCTCATGTTTAAACATTTAAACCTCTTGAATTCATTCACTAATGTCTTGAATATAAAGCTTAAGAGTATGATCCTTACCTAGAGTTCCCAATTCCCTTGAATTCTAATAATTTTCTTGCCCAATTTCACTAATTCTCTTCAATTCTTCTAGCAATC